TTGGCCACTAATGAGTCACCTGCCTTCCTCCTATACGGTGTAGATCCTCGCATACCTAACTTTGAGTACCCCGCAAGGGAGGAAACGACAGATGAGCGCAGAGCATTCCTGATTACGAAACTCCGCACGTTGAGGGAAGGTGCAAGAATGCGCGCGGAAAATTTTAACATGGGAAGGAGGGAGTACAGTAATAAAGGCCGTAAGCTAGAGCAGTTTTTGGTGGGGCAAAGAGTGTGGCTAAAAAAGAGCGGCGTGAAGAAAAGCAAATTCGCTGAGAAATACAAAGGGCCGTTCCGTGTGATAAAAATCATAAACCCCACAACATACTGCATAGAAGGGTGTAATTTTAAAGATAAAGAAACTGTCCATGTGGATCGATTAAAGATTTACTATGGACACCCTGATTCCAGGAGGAGCAGTAAAGGCAGGCCGAACAGACGCAGAAGAGCTCATAGGGAGCCTGAGATGGAGGGGGAGGAGGAGGAGGAGGAAGAAGCCCAAGGAATTAGGTGGGCTAGACCACATGAAGGTGATAAAGGGAAGACACCCGGCGTCGATAACACGCCTCCAAGCAAGGATGGCGAGGGCGAGGGAGTGCACAGGGGGCGTTATAACTTACGTCACCGGCAAATTGACTTCCGTCGCTTACACAACGGAAGTTGACATCTTTCGAGGGGAGATATGTAGCACTTCGCGACTATTTCTTCGTTTTCTTTGTTGTTTTCGTTTCGGTTTTTCCCTCACCCCTTTCATTTTGTTTCGCAGTGCCACCCTTCCCCGGCTAACTGTGTATTGGCAGCCAGATTGGCTGGTTGAGGGTCACGTGTGGTATATCCAGTTTGTAAGATATATAAGGTGTGACCCACGTGGAGTAGGGGCTTTTTGTTTCCGGATTCCCGGCTCGATGGAAGTGCTGAAGAAAGAAGAAGAAAAGGATTGGCATCGGAATAGGAACTGTGTGGCTATAGACTCTAACTCGCCCAAATAAGAGAAGATCGAAGAAAGACTCGTCGGCACGTAGTGGTTCTTCAAATGTTTTGTTCGCGGCCAAGATTTTCTTTTGTCGTGAGTAACGTTCAGTTATTTGTCTTTGTTACGCGCCGTTCTTGTTGTCCCGCTTCGCCACGTGTCGTGAGCCCCATTGTTAAGGAAGATAAAGGAGGAACGAGGTAAACGTGTGTATCGTTGATTCGGATGTGTTATTGTGTTATTAATTCGCAGTTTGTGTAATTATCCCGATTGGACTTAACGAACTTTAATTAAAAAAACCTAATTGTTGTGAGCTGACTTGTCCGTGTGTTTTCTTTTTGTCAACCCTGCAGACTCTGCTCAACAGGGAAACTCTACAATATAAATAATAACAGAAATAAACACATTTGTAAACAAGTGAAAAAAGTAAATAAGTACAGTGAAATGAAATGATATAAAAAATAAGATAAAACATATTAGATTTCAAAAAAAAAAAAAAACATGTTGAAAATTGGGTGCAGAATGCCTTATATCGCTTGAAAGAACATCTGCAATGAGATTATCTTTTCCCAGCTTGTAGTACAGCTTATAGTCATAAGCCAATAACTTTAGCAGTAATCTTTGCAGTCTAGGAGACAATGCACTCAATGGTTTTTTAATTAGCATGATTAAAGATTGGTGGTCGGAATATGCTACAAATGATCTTCCAAGTAGCATATGATTGAATTTTTTACATCCATAATATAAGGCGAGTAGTTCCTTTTCAATTTTGGAATAGTTTTGTTGTGTATTGTTCAAAGAAGAAGATGAAAAAGCTAAGGGTTTTCCTTTCTGTGAAATTGCTACTCAGAGCCGGCCCTACCATAGGGCGAAAGGAGCAGCCGCTCCAGGCGCTAAGTCCTAGGGGGCGCCTCAGTGGTAAAGAAAATTAAAGGGTATAAATTTGGGGCAACCAAGGGCAGTGGCGTAGCGAGGGGGTGCAAGGGGGTGTATCAAGCACCGGGTGCCACTCGCAGAGGGGCGCCCAAATGATCTCCAAGACAAACTATATGTCCTAGGTGGGGAACCTGCGGCCTCCGCGAGGTTCTTGTGCTGCCCTTTGCCACCTAGTACAAAATGGTAGAGTTAATTTCAAACAAGTATTGTACATCAACACCATGACTGTTGCGCGAAAAATCCCGCCAAAGACAGTCATATTGTAACATGACGTCAGAATACTAGTCTGAAACGGACTCTAACACGCATGAGCGAGGCTCTGGCCCACAGACCATCCGTTTCAGACTTGGACACTCAATGTTAATTTTTTAAACAGTTTTTTTTCGTTTAGTAACTGAACGAAAAAAAACTGTTTAAAAAATGTTAATTTTTTAAAAAACTGTTTAAAAAGCGCTAGCAGCGCCAACTACCTTGTCTAAGAAGTAAACAAAACTCGGTTTCAGATCTCCCATTTGAGTGTCACACCTTGCTTTGGCTTCTCTGACTCGCATCTCTCAACGCTTCCCTGTTGCGATCTTCAGCAAACTGTAGTTAACAGTGAGTGCTTATAACAGTTACACGGTTTTATTGTATTTCTAGAAAGTATACACTTTGTTAAAGATATTATTTGATATTCGTTTTTTTATCCATCATGTCAAATAGTAAGAGAAGAAAATTAGGTGATGAAAACAGAACATTTAATGTAGAATGGGAGTTAGATTTTTTCTTTACTGCTGAGAAAGATAAAATGATGTGTTTGTTGTGCAATACAGTTTTAAATACTTTAAAAAAAGCGAATGCAAATAAACACTATTTGACTCATAAAGAACATAAATATTTCGCTTTAGAAGGTGAATCACGAAAAGCTGCACTTCAAAAGTTGAAAAATGAGAAGCATCATCAGCAGGCATCTTTTAGTGCCTTTGTAAATCAAAATTCCGCTGCAGTTGCTGTTACGTATAAAATAGCACATATACTTGGAAAAAGGGGCAAACCATTTAGTGACATTGAAATAATTAAAGAATGTATTGTTGAAGCAGTGAGTATGTTAGATCCAAGAAATGTCGACAAATACAAACAATTACCTCTTTCAAGAAGAACTGTAACAGATCGACAGCACGAATTAGCGCAAAATGTAACAGAGCAACTTCATACAATTATACAAAATGAAGATGTTTATTTTTCAATTGCTTTAGATGAAAGCACTGATAAAACAGATTCGGCACAAGTTTTATATTTTATTCGTGCTATAACTAAAGATTTTCAATGTTACGAAGAACTACTTGCGTTGGGTACACTAACTGGAAGAACTCGAGGAGCCGATATTTTCGAAAACTTCAAAGAAGTATGTAATAAATTACAATTGAATGTCAGTAATTTAGTCAGTGTCTGCACCGATGGCGCACCTTCCATGAGAGGCAAAAAAGAAGGATTCGTTGCTTTGTTAAAAAAGGAAAACTTAAACTTGAAAAAATTGATATCATTTCACTGCATTTTGCATCAGCAAAATCTTTGCGCAAAATCTACCATTTTGCAAGACACTCTGGATAGAACCATTGCCATTGTCAACTATATTCGCGTAAATGCAATGCGTCATCGTGAATTTCGGCAGATGCTCTCTTTAGATGAGGAAACGTATAGTGTTGACCTACCATACTACTGCAAGGTTCGCTGGCTATCAACAGGTCAGGTTTTGATAAAAGTTTTGTCTTTACGACGACAAATTTTAAACTTTTATCAAGAACAAGGAAAACAATGTGATCTATCAGATGAAGTATTTCTCAGAAACCTTGCATTTTTGTCTGATATGATGACAAAACAAAACAATTTAAATATTTGCCTGCAAGGTGAAACGAGGTATATTTATGAAATGTGGCAAAAGATCCAAGCGTTTAGAAAAAAATTATCATTTTTCAAAACATTGCTTTGTCGATCGGAAATATCTGCACAACACTTCCCGGAGCTAGCTAAAATGTTAAATGAGCAGAACTGTGAAAATAAAATATTCGATGAATATGTAGGTGTCTTGGATTGTTTAATAGAAGAGTATACTAATAGATTTTCTGATTTTGACGAGCACACTCCTGCTATGAAACTGGCATTTGAACCACATTTAATAGATATATCCGAGGCTCCTGCAGAACTACAAATGGAGTTAATTGATTTAGGGGAAGATAGTATCATCAAATCCCTTTTTAACGCTAAAAAGGATCCCATAGAAATCTGGAAAAATGCTGTTGAATATCCATGCCTTCGAGAACATGCTCGCCGTTTACTTTCCTGCTTCGGAAGTACCTACTGTTGCGAGACAACATTTTCTCTCATGTCAAAAATAAAAACAAATTTAAGAACGCAAATTACAGATGCACATTTAGAGGATCAATTAAAGCTGTGTGTTACGAAGCTTGATCCAAATATACAATTACTGTCAAACAAAAAACAAAGCCAAATAAGTCACTAACTTAGTGAATAAAAAAATATTTTTTATTGTATTTTTTTATAATATTTTTATATTATTTTATATGTATATTATATTTAAAATTTTGTAGTATTATATTTTATTTTTTCTATATAATGCAATAAATTGTTAAATCTATAGAAAAACTATAATAATTTCACAAAAGTCACTTTCTTAGGTCAATCAGCTTATGCGGCCTCTCTTATTGCTGCCTAATTTAAATGTGGCCTCTAATGGTAAAAAGGTTCCCCACCTCTGCTATATGTGTTTCTGGAGGGGGCGCCAATAAAGTGTCGTGCCCCGAGCGCCAGTTATGTTCGCTACGCTACTGACCAAGGGGGCGCCATAATAGGATCTCGCTCCATCCTAAAACTTGCCTCGGGCCAGCACTGTTGCTACTCCTAGAGCATGTTGACTGGTATCTGTATGTAGGGTTATAATTTTGTTTGTATCAAATTGTGCTAACATTTACACAATCATTTTTATAATAAAATACTCTTTAATACTGACTTTATTATTTTCTTAAGAGTTCATATTTATACTTATTGTAATTTGCATTTTACATAATTATACATTTTGAAAGCTCTTTTAACCTTACCTTCTGTAAATTGATATATACGATAATTTCCTTGATCACCACATCTTTTTAATTCTCCATCTTTTTCTTTGGAATATAAAGCACTTCTAAAAATATCTTTGCATTTTATTTGATTTCCAGATCTTTTCATCCTTAGCCAAGCCTAAAATAAAACTTAAATTAATTAGTATCTAACATATTTAAACGAAAATTAATACTGTATATACAACTGAAATAACATAACATAATCTGCAGTTGTCATATCACAAATTTTTTTGATAACATTACAGGTATTTTAATAAATTAACATAATCAATACAACAAAGTTTTGTAGAAAAATATATTTGAAATATCATCATTATTCATGGGAACAATGCCTATTATTATTAAAGGTGTGTTTTATTTGTAACATGAGACTGGAGTCTGATGTTACAAATAAAACACACCTTTAATAATCCAGCAAATAAAAATTAATAAAATAAAAACATTTTTGACTGTTTCTTAACGATCTTCTAACAAACAGTTAGTTTATTATATAAGAGTCTGTTGTTATTTGCACTATCCTTTTCCACCTCTTTCTGTCAAGAGCACAGTGAACTAGTTCCTGAATATTATTCCCATACCATTCCTTCACATCATCCATCCATTCTGTGTGTGCCTGCCTCTTTTATTGTTCCCTCTATGATTTGAAATATAAAATATACTGTATATAATGGAACAGAATGTACAGGTAATTGCCAATTTACTTTATGTTGATTTGAATTGTTTTGCTATACCATCAATAACTATTTGGGGAATAGATCTTTGTATAATGTAGTTACAGTCCAACATAACATCAATTTGTGTACCATAAAAGCGTAAATCCCATAAATAATTTCATATAAATGAGGTTATCTCAAGTTCTCATCATTTTTATTTCTGGATATTGTGGGGGATGATTCTTACAATAGGCAACAATGTAAATTTATCTAATAAATATATTTCATTTTTACCTTCAAATATAGGTAATGACAAAAATTAATTAATATGCAGTTTGTTATGTAAAGTAGTAATGTAGTGATTACTCAGCACTCCCATGTTAGATAGCCACAAGCCACTACTGCCTATAAAGCTATTTAACAATGCACTTGGTATCATTTGAAATCAATTAGAAACCATTGTAGAAATGATACCGATATAACATATTATGTCAAATAATATCACTTGAGATCACTTCATGGCACTGATTAAATGATTACAAGTGTAAAACCAAGTCATTTGCTCATTTGAAATTGCCCAAAAATCACTTGATATCATTTGAAAATCATAAAATGATATTTTTACTAGGGTTCATATTGCTTTTAATGTTCATTACATCTATGCTGAAATTTATAATTCTTTATAAAAACTAAAATTTTTATATATATACTGATTACATAGTTCCGGTAAAGATACAACACCAGTAATATCCAGTAAAATAAGATAATTTACTAAATAAAAACAAAAACAAATGTTATCAACAATTTTAAATCATCATTATCAGGTTGAAAAGCAGTCAAACATATATGAAAATTTGAGCATCACTTTAAGTAAAGTTGAATATTTGTTTTATTAGAGAAAGCATAATTGTCATCCATTTATGTCAAATATTTGTGAAATTGGATTTCTAATGCAATGTACCAGTACATCAAGAGGCCTTTTTCCAACATCCATATACAGCTCTCTACAGAACCTTAGGGTGTGACTATGCAGACATGAGCAAGCGAGAATATGTGGCAAGAAGAGGTGATGACTTTTCACGCTCTTTGTTTCTCGCTCCCATCTATTTGGTCATAATAAACAAGAGTGAAAACAGAGAGCATGAAAAATCATCACCTCTTCATGTCACATATTCTCGCTTGCTCATGTCTGCATAGTCACACCCTTACTTTCTTACTACCTAGAGTAAGAAGTATGTGCCTTAAAAAAGCCATATGCTAAGTCAGATATCACATGTAATCTCTGTTAAATACTCTCATAAGTTTAGAAAATGAGTTATAAAATGAAGACCTGAATGATCAATGTGAACATTGTAAAACTTGCCAATCCATCACTGCTAGATTAAAATGAATTCACTGTAAGAGCTTACAGTTTAGAACTTCATCTTAATTAAGAGCTTAAATGTTCCAGATTAGAATGTGAAGGATGTGGAGCACATCCTTCACATTTTAAATCAGAATATTTTTTCCCTGACATCAAAAATCTGATACAAGGAATGGACGAGACTCACAAGGAAATTTTTTGGTAAAAAGTATCTTCAGAACAACACCTTTCATCCTGAAAATAAATCTATTTCAGCTGCTATGTAAGCTTCCAAGAAATGGTTATCCACCAATAATAAAATGAAACACATACATGGAGGGCATATATAAAAATATCAATGGCATGAAACAATGATACTTATGGGATTCTTGGAGAAGCTACACAAAAGAGTCATCCATTTTATTAATACCCCACTAGCATTAAAGTTACAAATGCTCTACCCTATGGTTTGATGCATTTGCCAAAATTCATGAACCAGATACCCAACTATGTCTAGTGGTAGTCAAATCTGATTTCCTTTCCATAAAAATACAATGAGTTACTCAATTTTCCTAGTAACATTTGGTGGTGCCATCTGTTATCATATTTTAGTAAAAAACTTTTAATATTTTTAACTACTGTATTATAAAATAGCAGAAAGTTTAATTTTGAGGATAGGTGGGCTTTGTAAAAAATTGTAAATGCTAATAACAAGTCAAGTCATCATAAAGTCCAACCCTATTAGAGATATATACAACCTCCATTATATCCCCATCCCCTCACTCTTTAATCACCAAAATTTAACAGCATCAATCCTCCTAAAATAAAACCTCCCTGCAAAATTTCAGAAATTTTCAAAAAAAAGCACAGAAGTTATTAAGCTTCAAAGAAAGTGAACAAAATTGTGACCCCACACACTAACATTCATACAGAAAAAACTCCCAAACTTGTTTACATTTTTTGATGTGTCAGTATCCTGAATCCAAAAATGTAAACATCTTGGAGGGGATCATTTTTTGACCAATCACCATACTTTCCCTCTGTTATATATAACAGCCAAGAAAATAAAAATTGAGAGAATACTCAATCACTTCCTGACCACTATCACCCCTACAATGCTGCATGATGTTTGATATTCAGTTCTATCCTGAAATCCAGAAGTGCAACATCACTAATGGTGCATACTTTGAATATTGTGTACAGTAGACTACTTAGCAAATTAGTTGCACTATCTGTATGAACATTGCATTATGTTTCTGTTGTTTTGTGCATAAATGTTTACTACTTTCTTAGTCTTTTCTTTCTGCTCTTTCCTATAAGTGTTTCTGCTGAGACAAGTATTGTTTCGTATTAATTAAACAACACTCTTTCATTTTGTAACTGAACTTTTTTGTCTATCTCTAGTTTGAGTTAGTTTTCTTCAGTTTTGTATTATGCCACTAGGAACACTAAAATCACATTCAATGGACTGTGCATAGTCACTTTCTTACAGATGCCAACTATTTTTGTAATGATACAACAAATGGGGTGTACAGTTACAAAAAGTTATATGGGGTGTACAGACTCTCCTAAAAAGCCTGTACAGTGGGTGATCGGTTAACGAACATAATCCATTCCAAGACTTTGTTCGCTATCTGAATTGTTCATTAACTGATTATCAATTTACCATAGGTTTTTATGGGAATTTGACTGACTTATTCTGGAGACCCCAAAAAATAAATAATATATACTTTCTTACTATGTTTATATGTAATAATAAAAGTACATATATACACAGTCTTGCATTTTTATTAGTCATATTTTTTCCATTTGTTTGGGGTTAAAGAACCTGTCTAATATCAATTGCTTTTCCCTCTTCTTCAGAAATTTGCTTCTATTTAGACATTTCATGTCAGTGAGTTAGTATGATAAATGTAACTTTATTAAATTATATCCATTTATACTTAAAGTACAATTTATTCAGTAATCCTTATAGACATTTTTCCATATTGAAAATATTCTATACTTCACTATTTTCATAATTTAAATACAAACTAAATAAATAATTGATCAATTCATTCCTTATGATATTCCTTACCAGATAAACTTCTAAACAGCAATCTGCACTGTCATCATTGTTATGCTTTCGATTGTCTGGCCAATATATTTGAAATATTCCAGTTGATCTATTTTTCCATTTTAATTTATTTTTGAAACTTTCTTTATCTAAAGATGGTATTAAAAAATCTTCTAGGAAATAAACCTGTTCAAAAGAAATTTATAAATAAATATAGTAAAAATTACATTTAAACAAAAGCAGATTTGTTATGAACAATTTGACAAAAATGTGAAATTAAATATTTATTTTCAGAAACATAGAAAAAATTTTTATAACTTATTCTAAATTTTTATTTTTATTCAACATACTGTAATAGTCATTTTTATTTGTTTTAACAATTTCATCATTATTCTTAATAAAGTCGGATTTCCTTTGCATTGTAACTACTGTAATATGAAAATATATTTGTTATTTTAAACTTTTCTAAAATTTAATTTTTTTTAAGATCCTTTCTCAATTATGCACATGTAGCATAACAAGATGCTTAAAGGCTAAAAAGTGGAGAGAGAAAAAGGAGAACATAGTTATAATAGTCAATGACAAACTAGTTTTTATCACAAGTGCAATCTATATATAAAAACAAATGTATGTCTGTGTGTCTGTCCTTCATGCATTACTACACCATTTATCTGATTGCCATGAAACTTTGGGAAGTTCTTTAATACACTCCCGCAAAGGTTTCTGGCATAGTACATTTAAGAATGGAAGTGTTAGCAATGGAAATGTTAAGAGAAAGCAACGTGCAAGATTTACAGGTGTAGATGCGGTTTTTTACGTTTTTGCAGGAAATCAAACATATTTTTAGACCCATCTAACCTCTAATTAAAGAAATAATTAAATTTCTTGAGAAGTATTTAATTATTTCTACTTAAGAAGTATAACTACTACTTAAGTAGAAATAAGTTGAAACCGGTTACTTTGTACTTGAATATTTGTAATCTTGGGAAAGAAGTGAAAAGACAAATTTTTATTACAAACGGATACATAAATCATAAATTTAAGGAATATAAATTCTAGGGCTTTTATTGTACCTTGTGCATCTCATTCATTAAATTTAGTTGTAAATGATGCTGCTAAAGTAACAGTTAATTTTTTAACATGTTTTTCTGCATCCTCTTGTAGATGGAACATACTAAATCGTAATATCACTAGTTTAACATTGAAATCTGTAAGTAATATAAAATGGAAGAGCAGAAAAAAAATATATCAAATATTTTTATGGATTTTTTTTTGAACAACAATACAGAACTGTGATAAAAATATACCAGTAAATTCCTATCAGTTGGATTAAGTTATAAATCTACTCGCGATTCACATAATGGGGCGAGGGCGGCCAAATATCTAGCACGCAGGCGGCTAACAGCCCAGAACCGGTCCTGGATAGAATCATTGGAAACGTTAGGGCTGTTTCACACTATGACCGACTTGTCCGATTCTAAGTCGTGTTGCCATGCAACAGCAGTCGGCCGACCGACTGGTCATTCCAGTCGGACAGATTTAAAAAGTTAAATATTTGTAGTCAGATCGGAGCAGTCGGTGAGCTACAGTCAATGAGAGCTTCGAAACTACAACCAATCAGACTTTGGATATATGAAAACTGTCGAATCAATCATACATAACTTTACATTATATATACCAGGGGTGGCCAACCTGCGGCTCGCGAGCCACATGCGGCTCTTTGAAGGATTATTTGTGGCTCTCGATAAATGTACCCGAGTTTCCTTTCCATTTTTGTGTTATTATATTTTAAAAAATTATTATCGTTCCGTATGTGTTTCAAAATGTCTTTTAAATTACTAACAACAAATATGAAAGACTAAGTGCAACGTTGTAACGAATTTTATTTCCGTCCAAGTTAAGAATGATATGACTCATCGAAAACTGCGCGAACGAACATAAACAGTGGTGTAATCGTCCGTTATTGACCGACTTCAGACCGATTTTGAATTTGTAAACTGTCATTGCAAAGGACAGTTGACATTGTACTCTGGAGGAAACAATTTGTATCACTCTTGCTACGGATATAATTTCTAATCTGGAATTTTCGCATACTTTTTTAATACGTATTTAATTGCGGCTCACGAAAAATTTCAAATTTTGGAAAATGGCTCTGACTATCAAGGCGCTTGGCCACCCTGGATATATACTGTACTTCTAATTTATTTAGACCCTGTACACACTAGGCGTTTTTCAACGCGCGTTTTGCGAGCGCTTTTAAACGCGCGTTTTGCGAGCGCTTTTAAACGCGCGTTTTGCGAGCGCTTATAAGAACCAAGAGTTCTATGTAGCCGTACACACTCAAAAGCCAAGCGCGCGTTAAACGCGCGTTTTGCGAGCGCTTATAGATTTTTGTTAAAACGCGCGTTTTGCGAGCGCTTTACGGGCGCTTTGAGATATATGTGCTGCCATGTTACCGTACATGCGATCGCGCGTTTTGCGGGCGTCAGCCGAGCGCTTTGAGATATATGTGCTGAAATGGAGAACGATCATTTCGATACT